TAGGGTTGGAAGGGACCTCGACAGATCAGAGTCCAACCCCCTGGTGCTGGGTCAGATGACCCCAGCCAGATACCTATCTAGCCTTCTCTTAAAGACTCCCAAGTTAAGGGAGTCTCCTGCCTTGGGAGTCCATTTCAAATTCTGACCACCCTTACCATGAAGAAGTTCCCCCTGATGTCCAGCCTAAATCTGCTGTCAGTTTGTGACTATTGTTCCTTGTTACCCTAAGAAACGCGCCCTGGTGAACAGAGCATCTCCGGTTCCGTGCTGAGCCCCCCTAATGAGTTTGTAGGCACCACACTAGTGAGTTTTGTAGCAGTCAAGAGGACAAAGAGTTAAAAGAGAAAGAGGAGACAGAATCCAGCAGAGAGCCCCGTGCCATATGTCAAAGTAGATTAAAAAAATGGCTGCATAGTACATGGCAAGACAGGACATCTCATGTCATGTTCTACATACATGTGAAAACTAAAAAGAAAAGCAGAATAAGCCCTGTCCTGTCTGTAGGCAGCCAACTGAGATGACTGTGTTAACTTATTTTGGTTAGAAGGATGTTGAACAGAACAAGCGCAGTAAAGCAAAAACACTGTAAGATTTCATAGCCTGAAACTATGATTTAAAAAACAAAACAAAACACAAACTGTTTTTGTACATTTGAAGACTTATTTTGGAGGTCTGTGCCTAAAAAGACGTAATCCAAAATAACATGTGCACTGGATTTATAACTGAACACACTCTACATTTAGTCATTTTGGAGGTTCTCTAAACTAGAAATGTTTGTTTCAAGACTGAGTGCAAGATTTCCTACCAAGAGTCACATACCATATGCAGATATTAAATGACACTTGTATAAGTGGGTGGCACACATTTTAAAAACAAATTCAATGCTCAGAAGAGACTTCTTGTATGAGTTTATATTATTGGAAGTCCTCCTACCTCTCTTTAATCAATATACATAGCATTTGTAAAGAGACAGAAAAGAAAAACAATAAATTCTAGTATAGCTATTTCTTAGTGAAGACATAATAGAAGGTTAGAATTCCAGATAAATCTTTTTGAAAAATAACATTTTGACTCATTCATCCGTACAATGTAAATCAATCTGCATAGATAAATTAAGGACAGTATTTCTGCTATAAATTAACCTCAAGAAATGTGAAAATTAGTAAAGCATTTTTAATAGTCATGTTTCAGTCAAAAAATGGAAAAAAGTAGGTTTGGAATGCAGGAGCCATTATCTTCACAAAAACAAAGGCTCCATTTCAGTCACTATATAACTTGTGGTTTTGACACCACCCATGGTCGGTACTAATGGAAGAACAGAGTTACTTACAGCCTGGTCCAAAACATTTTTCAGGTCTATTTCAAATGATTTGATAGAGTATCCTGGTACTGATGGATAGATCCAATTTGGTCATACCTATACATACCTTTAATGTGACACTCCAAAACTTCAGACTGTCTTATGGTAAAGTTATTTGACAGCAGTGGCCCAGGTGTCACTGGTAGGGGGAGCTGGGAGGACCCATCCTGGAGGGATGCAGCTTCCTTCAGGATGATCTGCTGGTACCAAATACCGGTCCCATTCATGCCTGGAAGAGAAGAATGTTTACAAAGGATGTCTGTTCCGTTTCACTTCACCCATAAGACTGCTTATGATACGCTGATACACATACATTTCTTTTCATACTGTCTGCTACATTAAGTCAACTGATAAGATCACTCTCTGAATTACATTTTTTAAAACAAAAGCTTGAAGGCTGAACTCAGATCCCTACAAATAAATGTGTAAGTTCCAAATGTATAGGGTGTGCCATACTGCACACTGATGCCTCTAGCACAGGGACTGGCCACCTTTCTCAAGCCACAGGCCAGAACAAACCTGACCCAGTCTGACATGGACTGGGTGGCCCAATACCACATCAGCTTGGGGGAGAGCCACATAGCTGGGAACTACACCTGCATTGCTGGTGTTTTTCTCTGCCCCCACTCCCCAGAAGGGAGCAGTGCCAGGCCCAGGCCAGTTAGGATGGGGAGGGCAGCAGTAGTGTGGGAGCAGCTTCCAGCTGCCCAGCCCTAGTGCAGCTCGTTGCTGCTCAGCCCCTGCATGGTGGGGCAGAGGCAAAGCCCTCCAGTTCTACAGGCCTTAAGCTGCTGACCCTTGCTCTAGGACAGCAGCTCCCAAACTCTGACAGATTGCACACCACCAATTTAAAACAATACAACCTTAAGTGCTACCAGTTTAAGGTGTATGGTAGGGTATGTGGGAGAGTTGTGTACATGTGGGGGGTTCAGGGTATGGGTATGTGGGGTTTGTGGGGGTGTGAGGAACCCCCACACTTCCCCCATGGCACAGTAGCAGGTGGGGGTGCTCAGGGCACAGGCACCCGTTGGGGTGCGGCTCCAGCCAGCACTGCACATCACATATCCTTTGGGCACATCCTTTGTCAGGCAGTCTGTATTGCCAGCGCTCCCTGGGCATGGGAGGAAAGCCCAGCACTGAAGCCGGCTGACTTTCCCACCCCCCAGGGGAAGGCACCTGGGGCTTTCTTCCCGTGCTGTGCAGCCTCAGTGGAGAAGGCAGCCAGCTCCAGCACACAGGGCTTCCCTCCCACACCCAGTGAATGTGAGAGCTACACGTGTGCAGGGAGCACTGGTGATACAGACAGGCCAGCCAGGGCTGCGCCTCTAGTGATGAGCAGTGCTGGCCAGAGCTGTACCCCATCAGGCGCCTGTGCAAGGCACAAGCGCCCGAACACCCCACCTGCTGCAGCTGCCACCACCTGCCAGGCCTGCGCGCCATGGAGGCAGCACAGGGGAGTCCCCCTGCTGCTTCCCTACTTGTGGCCTGGAGCCAGCAGGACACCAGGAAGTGGAGCAGGTACCCAAGGGCTACCCCATCTGGAAGCTGTGTGCTGGTGGGGCCGGGCCCCTCTGCCCACAAGGGTGGGAGCGAGGCAATAGGGTATGTTTGGGGCTGTATGTACATGCGGGTGCCTCATTCCCACCCTCATGGGTGGAAGGTCTGGGCAGGGCACACATACCACTGGTGGTATGCATACCACAGATTGGGAACCGCTGCTCTATGATATTACTGTAGAGAAACCAAAAATAATGTATCCACATTGTCCAAGTTTTCTTAGCCTCATAAGGGCGAATAAGGAAAACAGAGATTTATAACCACCTGAAGAAACCTGATTAGTATTTGTAAGATATAACTTCGTATTCACAAGTCAGTGAACCAGGAGAGGCTGCAGTTTTATCTTTAAATATATCTATATAACCAAGTGCCACTTTAGTATTGTATGCAGTAAAGATGCTGTTTGCTCTCACCTGATCTGGATGAGGACTGGTACAGAATGCTCAGCTTGTAAATAATACTGTTGGAAGGGTCGAAGCAGATGGCCAAGGGGGAACTCATCTGTTACAACACATTAAAAACTATTCGGTAAAATGCCACAAATTCCAGCTCCAGACAAAGAAAGCCTAGACAATGAAGATGCCTTCCTGACTTAGCACTTTGCCACTCTATAATTAACGCTTAAGTTATTTGCTAATTCGTACATTAATTTATCAGAAAGATCTACATTCAAATCGGCATCAAAAGTGCTTTCTATTTTCATACTAAAAAAGCACTACCCATATAAGTGGAAGTCCTCTTCTCCGCTGCCCATTGCCCAGCAGAGAAACACACAGTACTAGATGGGAAGGATGAACAGCATTGGCTGAATGCCAATACTAAAGCCTCTACACCCTGTAGGAGGTTTACGACCTAAACCAATGGTGTGCAACCTTTTGGTGCAGCTCCCAGATGAGCAATGTGAAACCCCTGTGCACCAGGACTGGGCCCTAAGCCACCTCCAGCTGGGCATTGTGTGCCCAAACCAGGCCCCGGGGAACAAACATGCACCATCCAACATGCTATCTAGCCCACAGGACTCCCCACAGGTCTGGAAATTTGGCAGCAGGGGAGCAGCAATTGTTGCCACTGTTCCCCCACCACTAAGTTTTTGGACCCATGGGGACCCCTGCAGGCCACCTGGCATGACTCCATGGGCTGGATCTGGCCCATGGGTTGAGCACCCCCAATCTAAACAGCCAACTCAACCTAAACTGCTTGGCTTGCAAGATGTGATGAGACACTAGTTTATGACACTGTTGAGTTTCCAGTTCTTACTGCCACACCTTTTGAATTTGATAAATTTAATGAAAGAACTTGACTGAACTTGTGTCATCTCCATGTCTTCATGGCATCACCTATTTCAGCACGTCAGCTTTTGTAAACAAAGCTTTATGCTATCACTTCAACCTTAACCTTGCTCATTTTCACAAAAACTCCCCAATACCAAAACAAAATTTGCAGCCATGTACCCGGATTGCCAAACAGCACGGACTCAATTTCACGTTTCTGCTGCAGAAGCTTCTCTCTTTCTTTCTTCTGCTTCTTTTCCATTTCTCTTTTCCTCTCTTCTTCCTGCTCTCCTTCTAACATGACTCGTAGAGCTCTCTCTTCAGCTTCATACAGTTCAGTGCGTTTTTTAATCAACGTCCTCATCTTCTGAATATTATGTTCAAAAGCTTCATCTGCTGATGGGGGTGGACAGACACCTACAGAATGAGAGCGATAACTTAAAAAAAAAAAATCAACCTTGAAAGTGGTGATAATTTCAGTTTCACACTGAGAGGCAATTTGCAGCATTTTGGACAAACCTGCGTCTAAGTCAAGAATTTTTCTCACAGCTATCTTTTGATAAAATGAGTTATGTGGAGGAGTTTGGAATGGGAGTGAAGCAGCTATATTCCACATGCTAGAAAACAGATCCTTGAAGGCAGTATTATAAAAGCATCTAATTAAAAAGTTACAAGTCTGGGATAAAATCTGCCTAATCAGCACCTTCCCAGCGCTCCTTCCAGCAAGGTAGCTGGCACATGAAGCTTGTTGGTTACCCTCAAGGATGCTACAGAATCTTCCTCTTGGTGTGGCTATTTGGTACATTCTATATACTATTAAATACATAAAACATGTGATTGTTCATGTCTACCATTAACTACTATTTCTTCATCACCCATCACTACCAAAAGAAGCCGTTGATCAGAGGTGGGCAATTATTTTGGGCGGAGGGCCGCTGAGTTTTGGCAAGCCATTGAGGGCTGCATGACAGGCAGCCAGGGGCAGATAAATATTAATTCCCTAAATTTTTTAGGGGCTCCGCAGGCCGGATAGATTGGTCTGGTGGGCCACATCCAGTCCATGGGCCATATTTTGTCCACCCTCGCATTAAATAAAGGATTTAACACAGATCAAGGGTACCTATTAGAGACCAATATTTTGCAAAGTCAGGGAGTGGTAAAAGCTTAAATTGAGGAAGGTATTATTAAAATAAATACCGAAAAGCAACCGAGAAAGCCCGAATCAGGATTTAAAGTGTTAAGAGCTCTCTTCCAATAAAGCCCTCAAGTGAACCTTTTACTTATGAAAAGATGACACTACTATATCCCCTATGGTGTCTGAACCCTTCAGAAACTTACTGAGGTACAAAAGCTGGGCAAGATTTTGTCATTATCGCACTAGATTCTCACCAGAAAATGTGCATTTTTTCAGTGGTTGCATGAACTATAGAGATAGATTTTGCTTTACTCCATAAGCAGCCAGAAAGAAGTGACGCTGCTCGCAAAGTAAGCGACTAATTAATATCCTGTCTTCTACCTTGTCTTTAATAGAGTTTGGCAAAAGAAAAATATCCCTTACCCCTACTGAAACTGCTTGTTATTGCCTGCATTTTTAATAGTTCACAAAATCCCACCAAATTTACCTTTTCTTCCTGCTGCTTCTTTTCTCAGTTTCCTAAGCTTTTCTAAGCCCCGAAGAATTTCCACCATTCTCTTTGTATCTGCCTGCTTCCTTCTAACTTCAGATAAGACACTGTCGGCAGCAGCTTTAAGTTCCTGCTCCTGCAGTGGGGGAAAAGTAGAAAAAAAAATATGAACGCCAACAGGTACTCAAGAATAAAGACAGCGTCAAGAAGCGTAAAGGGAAGAATAACTGAAATCCGTAACCGTCCCAGGACTGACGAAGTGTCTCATCAACAGAGATGCAGAAAGTCAATCAAGTACATTTTAAGAGAACCAAGAGAATGGACAAAACACGACAGAGGGGCCAAAAACGAAGGCAGCGATCGAGAGATACGGAAACAGGCCGTTCTTAAACCTTAACTCAGCAGTCCTGAACCTTTTTCAGCCAACGTACTCCTCGGTCTCAGAGTGAGACTTCACGTACCCCCTTTCAGTGGGCAATTAATTAACACAGGTTGTTAGACAACATATGAAATATACTTCACATACCCCAGGGGTACGTGTACCCCCAGTTCAGAACTGCTGCCGTAACTCTTCTGGGCAAATAAATCGGGTTTTTAAATTACAGAATTATTTTGCAATTCTGAAATCTTAACATCTTCAATCCCAAAGCAAACAAACCCTGCTGGCCCTGTCTGCACATCACGGAGCAATGCTGTCAGGGAAGGACCCCGATACCAGGGGAATAAATGTGTCCACCCTCCACCTCCCACCGGCAACACGAGGTTTCTTTTCAACCTAGGACGACTTTTACGATCTTTGAATTCTCCCTGGCTTGAGGACGGGTGCACGTGCCCAAGTTTGCCAAAAAAACCCCCGAAACCAAACAAACCAAAGGAAAAAAAAGGGGGGGGGTGGAAGTGCTGCAGCCCTATCCCGGGATAGGCCGGCTCCGCTCACCCGCGCCCTCTCGGCCGCCTCGTGCCCGCGCCGCGCGCGCCACCGGTCGATGAG